CAGAGGTGGAAAGTGTACTGAAAATTTGTACTCAAATACAAGTACTGTTACATTACTTAAATTGTACTCAATTACAAGTAAAAGTACTGGTGTTATAACAATACTTAAATAAAAGTACAAAGTACTCTTTTCAAAAACTACTGAGTATTAATTACTCTTTAACCACTTAATGTTTTAATGTTGTTTTTGGGGGAGTGGTGGCGCAGAGGTTAGAGAGGTGGGCTTGTGATCCGAAGATCGCCGGTTCACGCCCCGGCCCCGACAACATCAAAATTGTGGGTGGGGTAGGTGAAACACCCACACTTGCCCCCACCCTCATTCGCCCCACTCTGGGCCCATGAGTAAGGCCCTTAACCCCCACCATGTGCTCCCTAAACAGGTCTCTCTTGAAAATGAGTTCTCGTGGCTCAATGAGACTAACCTGGATAAATAAAGGCTAAATGAAAAAAAAAATGTTTTAATGTGTAGAAGTCACTCAGTTTGATGTCCTGTATATAACAGCTACATTCAAAGCTCATTTCTCAGACGCTCAGAAGCTCCGTCTTATTTTAGTACCAGACAAACTGATGGCAGTGACAATATATAAGATTTTGCCAAACTAATAACCCACACATACAAACAATAAAACAGCAATATCATACAGGTGTAAAACCTCGTATACCACAATATGTTATTTGAGATTAGATGCTGAAGTCTTGTAAGCTGCTATCACCGTGGAGATCAAACAAAGTTTGCATCTGGACTCTGTCGCATTTTCACCTTCTGTACATGAAAACTTCCTCCAGGTACGACCACGGGCACTCGTCCTCAGCCTTTACCTCGTCGTTGTCTCTGTTGACAGTGTTCTCTGTCTCCATTTTGGCTTGTTCTCCAAATCTTCAGTCCATAAATGACTCTCTACTCTACGGAGTTGTCCTTTGCTTACGTTATCGGTTATTGGTGCGTTCATGATCTGAGAGCCTTATTAGCTACAAAGATGCAGATGAACAGTTTGAATATTAATTTAAATTGCGACCGTACTCAGCAGCGACTTCTGATTTTAAAAGTATCGAAGTAGATTACATGGTCCAAATTGTACTTAAGTGTGAGTAAAATTACACGCTTGAAAGAAATACCCATGAAAGTACAAGTACCCCAAAAATCTACTTAATTACAGTAATGTGAGTATTTGTAATTATTTACACCCCACTTATCGTGGGGCTTCGAAGGAGGGAAACAACGGAGCAACAGAACAGGAAGCACAATCCACAGACAAAGGAAAATCACAGAGACGCTGAGTATACAGGGAGACTAATGAGGGAATGACAAACACCTGGGGTGATTAGAGTTAGAGACAGGTGAGACGAGAGCTGAACAACCAGCAGGGAGAGCAGGAAACACAAAGATTAAATAAATAATGAGATAAAAACAGATTCCCACAACCACAGGGACACATCTTAACAAAATAAAAATAAAGCAGCTGCTGATTCATTTAATTTTGTCTGTACTGGGATCAATGCAGACACGTAAGAAAGTGAAATATTTAAATCCAGACGATATAAAAACAGACTATTTGTAAAATAAGTGGTTTCGGATGTTTCCAGTGTTCAAATCAAGCTGTTCATGCAGCTTTGGACTGCTGATAGTTTAGTGGAGAGCAGGCGGGACGGAGAAGACAGTCGAGACAAAAATAATTTTACATCAAGGCTGAACATTCTGCCGTCAGTGACAGACGGCTCCATCAGATCCAGCTTCATGCTGCTGCAGCTCAGTCCGGTTTGCACGAATCAAAACATGGACAGCGGAGGACAAGTCGGGATATGAAGCACACAAATGATTTTTTTTCTTCAGGCAAACTGAAGTCGTACATTTTTCTCACAGCTTCGCTAAAAATGAACTCCAATAGATTCATAAATGTAATGAAATGTGCATGTCTGGTCGCCCGCAACCTCAAATCTAACAAAGTTAAGTCAGGCCCTCTGGACGGATTCAAGAAAAAAATTAAAAATTAAATAAATTAAAAAGCGCTTGTTAAAACACCAAAGTCCATGCTCAATAATCCAGGTAAAAATCCAACAATGTTCAGTCAGGTCATCTGGATGGTTTCTTTTATTTTTTTCTGAGCCGTTTTGTCTGTCATCCAAAGGACTTCTTCAGTAACAAAAGTAACCGTCCAGATGACCTTCGTCGTGACTGACGAAGACTTTGCGCCCAGAGGACCTGACTTAACTTTGTTAGATGATTACTGAGCATGCATCAGGATACTTGCATGTCAACGTTTTAACCAAAGATCCTGCACGAGCTGTTAGCACTCAGAGTATGTGTCATGAATCACTCTCAGCTACTACCACGCTAAATCTGAGCTCAATCTACGTCAAAATGAAGAGTTATGCCCATTTTTTGTGTTTTCTAATTTCAATACGCTGCAGCTGCCAGTTAACTCCAAAGATGAATCACCTTCATACATCCAATGATTACTTTATGACAGTTTCATTTAACTTCATCCTGTGGGTCATGAGATATTTTGCTGACAGAGGAAATTAAATGACTGTTTACATTTCACAGAAACCTTTGGTGCCACTTTACAATAAGGCTCTCCTTATAGATGGTTAATAAATAGTTTATAGATACGTTATTAGATACGTTATTAATAAATAAAACGCTTTATAAATCATTAATAACTGCTTATTATGCATTAATTAAGGGTGACAGAGACAAAGCTGACCAGTTTGTTGCCAGATCTGCCGTTTCATCTAGAGTTGTTATATTAAACATATCAGACCAAGTTATTACCTTGTGAACACAACAAGTATTTGTAAACCTAATTTTTTTAGCATATAATATTAGTTGTAGATACTTATAATGCAGTGATAAAGTACAATATTATGTGCTAAAGAACTAGGTTTACAAAAGTTTATTATACTTACAAGATAGTAACTTAATCTGAAATGTTTAAAATAACAACTCTAGATTAAATAAATATGTGAACAGATCTGGCAACAAACTGGTCAGTTTTGGCTCTGTCACCCTTAATTAATGCATAATAAACAGTCATTAATGATTTATAAAGTGCTTATAGAGGAATTAATAACGTATCTATAAACTATTTATTAGCCATCTGTAAGGGGAGCCTTACTGTAAAGTGGTACCGAATCTTTTTACTGGAAATGATTGTTTTTCTGTGAGTTCAGTTTAACTGAACACTGGAAAAGCTTTTTAAAGAATCGCATCGTTTAAAAAAACGTGTTTACTTTTTTTACAGCATCTGTTCAATCATCTAAGTACAAAGATGCGTGACAACTCCTAAAGTAAAATTAGATTCAACACAGTGTTAATTTAACGTGTTTTTGTAAATCGTTTCCAAAAATGGGGCTCGCTTTAACTGAATTCAGCAAAAGAATCTTCACCGTCTTCTCACATCTCCATCTGCTCCTGATGAGCGGAGCGGCTCAACGGACTGAGCGGAGACGCAAAACGGGACAAACAACTCAAACTCGGCGTTTAAAAGAGACTAAACTTATTAAAACATCAGCTCCATCCTTCCAATAGTTGACTGAACAGAAAATAAGCTGCAGAGCTTCTGCCTCAGAGAAGTCATTAAAAAACGCATCGACCATACGCAGAGGCCTGATGTCAGATTCTGAGAGGAAACGCCAACCGAAAGGACAACCTGACATCCCACGTCTCCTCTCACCTAATCTTCTCCGTGACCTTTGCTCAAACGGCGAGATGAATGGTGGGCCAACATGAAATCTGATATAAGACCATTTATCCAGCATGACGCCTCACGGAGGCTCTAATCAGCGCCCGGGCCTCTTATCTGAAAAAGCCTTTCACTAAGAAGTGATTCATGAAGCTGCCATGGCAGGCGAATGCCTCACGCAATTTGTTGGGACTTACGTAAACTGGATATTTTTGTACAAGACGGGGAAATAAAAACACCAACTGCACAGAAACATTATACACGAAGCTCCTCCTGTGCACCGTTTCAGCTTTTTATTAATGTCTGTTTGGAAAAATAAAAATATATACTGGAGAAGATGTGATAAAATACAACTAGTAGTCCCTCACTACTTGGCAGTTCAACTTTTGCAGACTCGCTCTCTTGCAGTTCATGACAACAACAAAAAAAAGACTGTACATGACATAAGATCGTCAACTCTATTACTCACGTGACTGGGACAGTACGGGATACAGTAAAACGTTAACGAAAAAATACTTCGGACAGGCGCCACTATTTTGTAGTTTTCTCTCGATAAGCCTTTACTGTATCGCCACTCAAAAGGACTACATTACCCAGAAGCCAACAGTGCACCACCCAGATTTCCCAACCGTGCTTCCAGATGTTGCTTTTCTTCTGCAATGGAGGGAAAGCTTTGATCCGATCCGAAAAAAGTTTGCTGCTTATTTATAGTGGCTTTGGCACAAAGAGCTGCATGGAACCGGACCAGAACCGGATCAGAACCGGATCAGAACCGGACTTCTAGCCTCATCGGTCAATCTGAGCGCTGCTTGCTGGCCCACGAGGCCTCTAGAGCGGGAAGCCGTCTCTTGGAGGGCCGGTGTTTTCTCTGGCACTCACTGGGACTTTTTCATCCGGATTTGGACTCTGTCTGGACCATTCTGTGATTCTGTTTGCAGTATGCAACTACTGTACAAGATATATATATATATATTATATATATATATATATATATATACTAAAAATAAATATAACATTTCTACTTTTTTGGTTTTTCACTTATTTAACCCCCGCAATAAACGAGGGACTGTATTACTTAATAAATGCCAATAAAAATGCCATGCTGCATTAGTAACAACTTGGCCTATCCAAACAGGTGGGTGAATGAAGACACACACACACACACACACACACACACACACACACTTAGGGCAGCCTCCACATCATTTAAGTTTTACATTGGACTTTAATTGTCCACGCACAGTGAGTGTTTTCCGGAGCAACTAAAAGAAAAATGGAGCCATACTCGTGTCAAAGTACAAATTTTTCCAACATTTTTTAATATAATTTTTGCACATATGTCAAGAGCCGCGGGTCAAATCTGCCCCCCCCCCCCACAAGATCATAACTTAAATGTAAAATATTGTATCTCTTCTAATATTTTTCTTTAAAAACCTGATAAATACATCATTTAGTGGAGACTTCTCTTGCCAGCTGGCTAACGTTGAAGCCAGAAAGACGGCTGGGTCATTATTGATTCTGAGAACATCAATGAGACAGATCAGACTTGAACCTGCAACCAAGAAAAGATATCGGGTATCTGACTCGAGTTGTTGTATCGGCTGAAAGTGGCTCGGACAAAGTTTTTAAATGTTGGCTCCTTTGGATAAATGCATTAGACATAGTGTTGCCAGATGCGTAGCGTATATGCGATAGTTTTTAAAAAGCCCACATTTACAATAGTTTGATCTTTTTCATTCACCTAAAAAAAAAAAAAAAGCTTTAATTCACATGAATACGATCAATGAATGAGTGTCCACTCCCCATTGATCAATGCTGGCATCATTAATATATTTGAATTGATCCACACAACCCAAGGCCCCAAGAGATATTCTGAACTGGACCTTTAGGTTCAACTTGATGTTTCACTTCAATCAATAAATCAAGTTCCTCTTAATGATCAGACAAAGTTAATTAAACTAATTTACTGATGGACCCAAAGCAGATCAAACAATCAATCCATCCAAACCTTCCTAAAAGTAAAGTTTACACAACTTAATCTGAAATGTTTCACAGTGTTTCACAGTGCACGGCTGTCAGAGGCTGGTCGTGCGTTAGAAGTCAGAAGTTACCTGCGTGTACGTGTCAGTCCGGGGTAACACAGATAAGTCATAGGTGGCTGCAAAGTGACTCTTGGCCTGCTGCATCTGCCCGTAGCGCTCCCTTTTCCTCCACTTGGCTCTTCTGTTCTGAAACCACACCTGGATGTTGACAAAGAAACAAACATTCATTTACTGCGGCCTAAATTACATCTTCAATCAACTTCAGGTTAAAAATCACAATATTTGTAAGAAGGGGTATTTTTTTTTTATTTGTACACAGAAGCTTCAATCATTTGGATTTTCCTTCAAATAAACTCCTAAAAGTCAGTGTCTACCTGCACCCGGGCCTCCGTCAGCTCCGTCCTCATGGCCAGCTGTTCCCTCACGTAAACATCTGGATAGTGAGTTTTCTGGAACACCTTCTCCAGCTCCTCTAACTGCGCGCTCGTGAAGGTCGTCCTGTGTCTCCTCTTCTTGCTGCTGGACACGTTGCTGTCGCACTTGTCCCCCAGTTCGTCCAGTTCCGTCTTCTCCGCGCCGCCGGGGACCGGAGAGGCGCGCACGGAGCAGCAGCTGTCCAAGGACCGGCCGAGGTCCGCGCGCACGGACTCCTCCTCTGGTTTGGGCACGCCGAAACCGACTGCAAGGAAGCGGGGTCAAAAAAAATCAGGCACGTGTTGTGTTAAAACACATTTTGACACAGTTTAAAATAATTGTAATAATAAAGTGTGCGCGTCATGACGCAAAGACTCATATTGGGCCCAGTTAACAAATTATTCTCCTAAAGAGGAAAAAAGTAAATGCTCAGGATTTATTTTCTTACACAGTGGATAAAAATAAACCAGGAAAGAACTATTTTTTACTTTAACTATTTATCTAAATATATATTTTCTGAAAACAACTGAAATTAAAAGGAACAGAACAAAACTGAAACACACTTCGACATTATATTAAAAATAAATAAATAAATAAATAAATATATAGATGTATATGAGTTTTAATAATTATTTAAATATTTCTGGAAAATGAAGCATCCAATCAGAGATCCGTCATTTAAAAGGCACACATCCTAAATGAATGCTGCAACAAATATAAATATTTTATAAGGCGCGTGCAGAAACCTAAAAAAAACTGCACAAATATCTAGATCGGTTGAGTCCGCGCGCGCAGCTCTCACCGTCCTGCTGTGCACAGGGGGAGCAGCGGGGCTCGAAGGCCTGCGCGCACTTCTGGGCCGGCTTGGTGAAAAACTGCGCGCCGTCCAGGCTCTCCATGACCTGCTCCATGTAGTAGTCGCTGCTCTTCATGGCTGGGCCTTTCAAGGAAAACTTCTCCTCCATGTAGTCCATGAGGATTACAGGAACCAGCGCGCTCTAATCAAATGGCACCATTAAAACATGAGAGACGCGTCCGGTGATGCGACGGCGCGTCAAGGAGTTCATTTGCGTCTTTCTAACCCCAAAGATCTTGTAAGTTCCCCAAACCTCATCCTCCCGAAAACCCAACTCCGCCCAGAATCCGACCCAAACAGCCTGGAGTTGGATTTAAACGGCCCAGAGGAGGCAAGAAGTCCCGAGCAGCTCCACGCTGCACCTGAGCGCGAGACTCTTCCACGAGCTGTGATTCCCCATGTTGGTGCTGGAGGTGTGGAGGAAAAGAGAGATGGATGGGTGTTAGGTCGGATTTATAAAAAGTAAGCTCATTTAAACCCGGAAAGAAGTTTAGTTCAATTTAAATTAGAGCTTAAACAAATCAAATAAACTAATTTATTTTAAGACGCAGTGTGATCATTTGTGCATCACATGTTGCTCGAATAATTTATTTTATTTTGTTTGTATTACATAAAACATTATTATTAGTGGTAGTATACAACACCAAAAGGCCCATGTCTGAGTGTATTTTTTAAATGAAAGTCTAAAAAAGTAATTATTCGGTAAACATCTATAATTAATTAACTTTTGGAGTCAAAGCACTTCCACCATAAAAATATTTATATTCAATAAATTTGACATATTCAGCTGATCACTGTGCAGTCTGGGTCATGTGCACGGTCTTCGCCTAAAACTTCAGCATTGCTGGTTGGAATCAACTTGTCTGTTAGCAAAATATCTCATTAACAGGATTATAATGAAGCTTTCAGAAAATATTAATTTATCAACTGTTACTTTCAGATTTTGTATGAGATGAGCTGACACAGCAGCCAACTCAAACATCTGGAAGCTTTAGAAAGGTTCACTAAAATGGGAGTAGCTGAGAGTAATCCTCAACGCTTACTCAGAGCACGACAACGGGATTCATAGACAGAAAGTTATTGTCAGGAAAACTTAAGCGCAAATACTACTACGACTATACTACTACTACTACTACGACTATACTACTACTAC